GCATCCTCTAGGGGAAGCCCTTCCCTTTAAAAAAAAAATCCCCGGCCTACCCCGGCCTTTGTAATGGTCCAGCCCGCATGGAAACCCAGCCAAAAGAATAAAGCAAAAAACGTAAAAACGCTTCGCCCTTCCTTTTAAAAAAGCACCCCCTCCGCCGCTTAAGCCTGTGTTGCCAAAGCAACGGCGGCCGGATGTTGTCGGGCGCGCGGTGCATTCTGGGGCCGAGGACGAGAAGGTCAGAGAGCCCGGCTGGAGCGCTGTGGCGCATGCGCGGTGTGCTGTTGGCGTCTGCGGCAGAAGTACCCCAGCGGCGCGTCGGGATGTGGTACGAAATCCTACCCTCGGCGGCTATTACATACTTGGGGTTGATCATCCCCGGAATTGCTACCGTCTACATCCAGCGATTTACAAACAACGGCAAGGTGAGGGCGGCAGGCTGTGGACGCGGTGCCGATGGGTGGGACTACAACCCCCATCCTTCTGGACTACAACCCCCATCCTTCTGTGCTGGCTGGGGGGGCTGATGCATAATGGCACGGATCCTGAATCTTGTCGGGGGAAGGACCCTTTGCTAATGCTTTCGTCAAAAATGCAGTTATTGCAAGGAAAATAATGTTTCGAGGCAAGAAAAGAAAAAGGACAGAAACGCGGGGGAGGAGGAGGAAGGAAAAGTCCTTGCAGGGCGAAGCCCCGAGAGAGATTTTACAAACGGGAGGCAAATATTATGGTCTGGAGAAGGAATGGAGGGATTGTGGCTCCCCTTAAAATCCTGGTCCGTGGCTGGAAATTGCTTTACTTGGCCCAGCGGTTCTCCGGCATTGTGGTCTCAGGACCCCTTTGCCTTCCCGAAAAGGATTGAGGACCCCAAAGAGCTTTTGTGGGTTATATCCATCGATATTCTGTTTGTTTGTTTGTTTGTTCACTCAATTGATAGAGCCGCCCATCTCGCTTTTATGTGATTCTAGGCATGTGACAATAAAACAAATAAAAACCACAAAATACACCGTATAAAATAAATAAAAATAATCTGGGCAGCCAGGCATAAACCAACCGATCATCCACACAACCAGGAGACCGGCCCTAACCCACGCCCAGGGCCCGAAAATCCAACAGGGACAGGGCTAGTCTAATCTCGGGGAAGGATGCTCCAAAGGGCGGGTGCATTCATGTGTTAGAAATTAAACGGAGACATTTTAAAATCCTGAATCGTCAAAAATGCAGATATTTGACTTCGTGGACCCCCCGAAAGTTCCTTGGAGACCCCCCCAGGGACCCCCAGATCACACTTTGAGAACCACTGACTTAGGATATTCAAATTGCAGCGTTAGGCTGGGCTGATATCTTAGGCAGGGCGGTGCGTTTCTGATCTTGGGAATGGTAGAGGCGAACCAGCATATGTGGCATTTATTCAGTGTCCCCTTTTCACAGCAACGTTGCTTTATATCTGGACTTTTCCTTGTCTTTTTAAAATCTTTTCTTCTCTCTCCTCTCCCACCCCCACTGTTATTCACATGGCTTCTGCCTTATCTCTGTACGCTTAGAATAAAAGAATGATACGGGATGTAAAAGACTGGCAAGCATTGGAAAGAGAGAAACGTATCTCCAGCACGGGATTTAAGGTTAGTTTGAAGGAAACTTCTCTGGATGAAGCAATCCAGTTGCAAAGTCATGGTACGATCTTTGTAAAAACGGAAAATCGCTGAAGAAGTTCATATCTGCCCCCCCCTTTTTTTTTTCGTGCCTTCCAGTCCCTGTTGACTCCTGGCAACTGCCTGGACACATCCCTGCAGTTTTCTTGGCAAGGATTTTCAGAAGTGGTTTGCCCTTGCCTCCTTCTGAGGGCTGAGAGAGACTGACTGGCTCAAGGTCACCCAGCTGGCTTTGTCCCTAAGGCGGGACTAGAACTCACGGTCTCCCAGTTTCTAGCCTGGTGCTTTCGCCACTACACCAAACTGGTTCTGCCGTTACTTGCTAAATAAATTCTGGCCAGATTCTACTTTTGATCTGCTAGATTTCAAGCATTTGTATTCCACACTTCAGTGGAAAATGTTCTTGGTGCACTTATACATAATTCATAAGAGACAGCATTCCTGTTCTCAGGCACACAATCACAATAAAAAAAGGCAACAGAAAAGGAAAAAAGGTTGAGGTGGGAAAAATAATAGTCAGATGTCAATATATAATGTTATGAAGACCTTAGGTGTCTCTTGGTTAATCCTGGGGGGAAAGCCAGAAGTTGATTAACCCTTCATTTCTGCTCATGTTAATTAACAGAGAATACTCCACTGCAGACTGTCTTTTTGGAAATAAAAAGAAACCATGCCTTGTGGGGGAAGGGAGCAATTAAAATGTATTCCTGAATCTTTTTCTTCTGCTGTTCGAAGGAGTGACTCATTAAGAGATGTGAAAAATGTCTTTCTCTTTTTCTTATATTTATGTTTCTCTTTCTTGGGTACAATCTCACCACATAAGTTATTCATCACGTGGATTAGACTTCTGTTCCTTATGAGGTTATTCAGGTCATGTCTATTTCATAAATACAGTAGATATTACTACTTTCATTGGTTCCTTTTGGTGTTTCCTGATTTTAACTCCCTCAGGCTTCTGGAGCCCAAATACTGAATATCTAACATTTGTAATGTATTGTGTGTCTACCTATACATCCAAAGTCAAATGGTCACTTTTATAAACAAGTTTGACAGTGTTCTCATGAACCAGATCAGGTTTGTCCAAAGTAATAGCTGGAACAGTTCGATTTCCTAAGATGTCTTATAGAGCTGGCCTTCCTAAGATGCTAAGTTATGTCACTAAGAACCTAGTCCTTTACACACTGTATTTAATGCAGCATCAATGCATCACATTCCCAGTCACCTTCAAAAATGTGTGGCAAACAATGTGGTGCTTTTCTTTCAAAAACAAAAAAAAGAAAAAGTTCAATAGACCCAGAATTTAAAGTTATGACTCCCCTCAAAGGAGTTGTATGGTCCTAGACCTGCAAGTACCCTCTGTGGTAACAGCTAGGTCAATGGCAGGCTCTTTTTTTTTTTTTAATAGTTGTAAAGAGGTTTGTAATCCTAAAAGTGCCCTGGAATATAAAAGTTTGGCAATTTGCCATAATTTAGGAAATAATTTTCCTGATAGCATTATGGAGTAGGATAACTCAGTCCATTAAACCTGAGAGCATCATCTAATTTGATTGTGACATGGACGCTTCTAACTTTTTTTTCCCCCTGTTCTTTATTTTTCAGGGTTTGGAGAACATTGACTAAAGCTACGGTGTGAATATTCTTATTTCATAAAAGCAGCTTAGCGTAAATAAAACAAAATCTAAAAGAAGTGTACAGTGAAAGTGTTACAAACATGTGAGCAGGAAAGTAGGATTCTAAAGCAAGGCCGCTACTATGGCAATAAAAATACAGACAACATAATACAACTGCTTTTGTCATGACTTTTTAAAAACAATTACATCAGCAAAATCAGTAGCAAGCCAGTGAAGACTATAGCAGCAGAGAATTCTCTGGCACTCCCTTCCACTCGACTTGTAGCTTGCGGATCTGCAACATTGGAAAGAAAGTTCATCTTGCAGGAACACATGAGGCTGGTGTGCAAAACTGGCCCTTGGTTTCAGGCAGAGAATTTGGGCATAACTCACTTCTCCAGATCACTTTAGATTTGACATGGGTCCAGTAGATGTCATGCAACTGGCCAACTGTTGCCCTGATTTCACCGGAAGAGAAATTATTACAGTTAGAATTTCTGAGGACATGCAAGTAAGACTGAGTTCTCCCATTGTGTTAATCCCTTGGTGTTGTAATATCCAGCTAGAGGTTATAGCCATTCCAGTCTCACAATTGGAGGGTATCAGGTTAAAGGACGCTGGGATTAACTTTCAAGGGGATTGAAATCACCAGTAATTTGTCATAATATTTTTAAAATACCCCCCTCCTTCCTTGCAGAATTAATTGGAAAGAATGCACCTTGGGAAAGGATTTTACATGAATTGTAGCTTCTTTGTTCCCATGAAATATCATGAATCCATTTAAAGAAAAGCAGCAGTAGTTTGAAGTACATATAATACTTACACAAAGATAACTACAGGGGGACAGCATGCGGGAGGTGGAAGCCATGAGTAGATCTGACTCATTGTTAAGTTGATGTTGGAATGAGTAATGGCACTTTGTGGGTTTCCAGAGCATTGCAAAAAAACAGAAAAAACCCAAAGCTGCTTCAAGTTATTCTGTTTAAAACTGTATTTAGCTGTATTTCTATGACATCCTTGCCATTTGCCATTTTTTCACCTTCGCACGGTACACTGAAGCGTAATAAATGCATTGTATGCATAGTTTTCAGAACACCCTATAGAAGCGATTATCTAGCACATTTTGCTTTAACATGGCTTACTGAATAGACCCAATGAAGTGGAAGCCCTGGTTTACTCGCCATAGGACTGGGATCTCACATAACATGCTGACCCCAAGCTAAACAAGCAACATGGGGGCTTAGCATAATATGAGAACCTGGAGTGTGATTTGTATAATTCGTGTTACAGGTTTTGGGGTGTGGGTTGGTGTTGGTAATGAGAAGGTGAATTCAGACAGACCTGAGGATGCTGTCTTGCTAGTGCTTATCTGTAAGAATTTCGTATTGTTTGGGGGAGTTTGCCAAAAGCCCAGGGTGGCGGCGGACCTAAATGAACGTGCCTCCACCAACAACTCTTGATAGGCAGCACCAAGGATCTGGACTGGAGAAAACAAAACTGCTTTTGCTAAATCCCTTACAGCAGTGTTGTCCAAACTTGGCCACCTTAAGATGAGTGGACTTCAACTCTCAGAATTCCCCACCCAGCCATGCTGGCTGGGGAATT